CGTAGGAGGCGACGAAAAGGGAAGTCTCAAATCTGAGACAGTAAAATATGGTCGCAAATACCAAGGGACTTGGACCCGAGAAAAAATGCGCTGGCAAGGGCCAGCAGCATATACAAAAGACAGACCCGTCTTCTCGTCAGAGAGGGCGTCCCACAGAAACGACCATAAATGTCAAACGGTAATAATTAATATCTGGTCATGAGCCCCAGATGGGGCTCGACACCAAGACTTACTGACTGATTGACTGACTGACCGTCAGTCGCAATGTGACTTTGACTATTGAGCCAGTTACTAGAGAGTAACCAGTCAGTTGCAGTCTAGCAGTCGCCAGAGTGAATGGAAGCAGGAGAAGTATTTGTGATACTGTAGATGGCAGTACTTGTGTGGAATAAATTTGCTTGATCCAAGACGGCGCGAAATTATTTGTCACGTGATACACCCAACGCGTGACAATATATATCACACGTGAGTCATGTACGCAGTGAGATCACACTGTTCTCTTGGACTAGCAGCCATGTTTGTGCTGGAGTAAATGGTTGACAAATTAAAGTATATTTTGTAACAGCTGTGGTTCTAGACTTATGTGATACCTGTGTGTTATGTGCAAATGGGTATGTTGGCTGTCTGTGAAGTACTGTCAGACAGTGCTGAAGGTAGATGGCATACCTACCAGCAGTATGGCTTGACTCTAATTTTCCCAACTCATGGCAACTTCATTACATCACATCTTTATAGAGTAGTGTCATCAAGCATTTTGTTGATTCTGATGGTTAATTACTATCACAATAGACACAGAACATTTATTTTAAGAACATTTGATTCTTATGTTTTACATATGTTTGGACTGGAGGTGATCATCGTCAGGTGAGAACACACAGGTTAAGAGGTTTTGAGTGAACTGTAAATACAGATACAATTATAAGTTAGATGGATTCATATAAAAGTATTTCTCCATATTAGTAAAAAATTGTTGATTTTCATAGTATGGATATTCTCTGGTGCATAATGAATTTATTAAAATGTTAGGGTTACAGTTATAATAAAATAATAATTGTTTCAAAAGAACTTAACCTGGATCCAGACTCCATTGTCTCATGAGAAATTCTTTCCCAAGCCAAATCTATTTTGTCCTGCCTGGCATAGTCTGGTTGGTGTTTATCATATGTACCAGGCTCTTGCTCAATTAACTGCACGAAAAAAAAAATTAGCAGCTTCATCAACCTTTCATGCCATCTTAAGAAGTGAATGAAACACTGTAGTATGTTATAGAACAGATGACACTAGGAAACCATGTGGCAATGGAATTGTGAGAAGACTGGCATGTTCCATTGCCTGGAAGTTGAGTTTCTTAATCTTTTTGTGAGTTGCGTTGCCATTTCCTCAATTTGCACTGTTCCATTCAGTAACGTGTGTTCAACTCAGGCTGATAACAATTCTCAGAAATTGTGGTTGCCAGTTTCCATGGTGTGTTCCTGCCCCTGCAGGGGTATGGTTTTGTGTTCTCTTTCAGTTTTTCTGCCTCTATTTATTTTATTTATAGGAGTTACAATGTAGAACTACTCATTTTGTGTGTTGGCTTCTTCATATCTGTTCGTACTGAAGTTTTGAGGTACTCTTTGTACTCTCTTGATTCTGTCAATATGATAATGCACATATCTTGGTACTTGTCACTGCTGGTTAGGGTTTGTGCGGCAGTGATACCTTTGAATTATTTGTGAGGTCACAAATGGGATGCAGCATTAGAGAATCATCTGTAACTTCAGCAAAAATTGGTGCCAGTGCCCTCTGTGCTAGAGTAGCATGCAGAGGGTCCCCAGGTCTTGGTAAAGCTGCAGATCCCAGTGAAGTAGTGATAAGGAGAAACACAAAGGCAAAAGGGCATAAGATACAGACTGTCATCTGAGTTATGATACCATATAGTCTGGTATAGCAGCGACTTGAAGCACAGAGAAAATGATGCTCGAGGTGGTTCAAGTTTGTAAGGCAACAGGCGTGACCAGAGTGGTTTGAATGGCTGTTGTACTGTGATGTGGAAAGCAAATGGAAACACTACCACATTATCACTTTTCCTGGATAGTCTCTTTCTAAAAACAGAGATACCGTGTATGTGAGATGTTTCCTCTGGAGACGAAACAATCCAGAGGTAAACTACTCCCCCAGTCGGATCTCCGTGGGGGGAAGAAGACATAAGAAGATGCTGGATGACCTTGGGGACAGAAGAGGATATTCTCATTTGAAGGAGATAGCTTTAGATCGCATTAAGTGGAGGAACTGTTTTGGAAGAGACTGTGGACCTGTCATCAGACAGATTACTGATGATGATTATGATAATAGTCTGGTAGATGAATATCAGTGTTTTGAATATTCATTCATAGTGCTTCCATTTTCAGGGTAGAAGTTGATAGCCACTTATCCGTCTTTACATTGTCATAACCCAGAAAACCACAATATGAATATTGATTGCAGTTGAGATCTGAAATTTAATTCAAGAAACAGGAAAGTTATATAGTTACAGTCAACTCTCGATTATCCGGGCTAATGGTGGGGATGGAAGTCACGGTTAATCGAAAACCCGGTTAAGCCAAATTTTATTATACGGGCTGGACGACTGTGAAGGGTCGGAGTTCGAGTCCCGGTAGGGTCAAGAATTTTAACTTCTCCAAATCGTCCAGACCGGCTCTGGGGTCCATCCAACCTCCTATCCAATGGGTACCGGGGGCTCTTTCCCCGGGGGTAAAGCGGCCGGGGCGTGAAGCTGACCACTCACCTCCAACTAGTGCCGAGGTCAAGAAAATTTGGATCTATACATCCACTCCCCCACACGCCTTAATGGCGTAGGGCTTAATTCGTTGAGCAGAGGAACAACTTTACCTTTTACCTTTTAATACCTTCATAATACTATAGACCTACCTGTATTTAAATTTATTCATCCTCATTTCTATGTCATCTCATGGCCTATTTAATACTTTCTTTACATTACACTCAGTATGAATTAGTTATTTCAATCACTGTTCAACAACATCCAGCACTTTTTACGGTCACACTTAACACTTAAAATAATTTAATACTGTCTTTTGCTTTTTCGCGGCATTTTCCTTTTTACGGATATCCGTACGAAGCCTACGTAATATTAGCTTGTCACTTAATAAACTGTCCTCTTCACTCTCAAGATAGTCTAGTAAGGATTCCAAATGATTAAGCGCAGCACCATGTGATACTTTCTTACTGGCAACACTGTCCACCTCTTCCTCATTCTCACTTTCTTCCCGCTCTTCTGGCTGCACCCCCATTGAAGTTACGATTTCGTCACTGCTTAACATTTCGAAGCCCGGTTCACACGAGTCACAGTTAAACCACTCTCTTATATTTTCCTCGTTGACTTCTTCACCACCATGAACTTGGTTAGCCACTTTTGTCAATTTTATGGCTATCTCATTTTCACTGAATCCAGTGAATCCATGGATTTCGTCATCTTCATTAGTGATGAAAGGCATCAGTTTCTTCCATGAATTTTTCAATACAGATGGCTTTACTGTATCCCACGCTGTTGAAATCTCGTATATGGCATCTAATACTGAAAAGGACTTCCAGAAACACGTCAGATCATTGCCTTCATCGATGTACTTTTGTAGCAAATTTGATCTGTAGATTCTCTTCATACTTGAGATAACTCCTTGATCCATTGGTTGGATAAGTGCGGTAACATTAGCGGGAAAATATTTCACAAAAATATTTCCATCATCTGACCTCAGGAGACTTTCGTTAGGATGTGAGGGCGCATTGTCAATGAGGAGCACAGCTTTCTCAGGTAGGCCTTGGGATTTTAGATGGTCACGAACTTGAGGCACGAATTTAAAATCAAACCATTCTTTAAATATCGCTCTATTCATCCAAGCTACTTTCTGGTTAAAATAATGGATAGGCAGACTTGAAGCTACTGTTCCTTTAAAAGAGCGTGGTCTTTTCGCTTTGCCGATAACTACTGGTATTAGTTTGTGTGTTCCTGATGCATTAGAACAGCACAAGACTGTCAATCTCTCCTTACTGGATTTGTGACCTGGAGCCTGTCTTTCATTTTGAAATGCCAATGTTCTGGTTGGCAAGCATTTCCAATAAAGACCCGTTTCATCGGCATTATAGATTTGTTCTGGCAGCAGATTTTCACTTTTCACAAAACTATCAAAATTGGTGCAAAATTGATCTGATGCTGACAAGTCCCCTGACAATTTCTCACCTTGAATACTGATTTCTCGTATTCCATGACGCTGCTTGAAACGTGTTAGCCAACCGGAAGAAGCGTCAAAACTCCCTTCTAGTTCAAGTGCTTCGAAAAAATATTTAGCTTGTTTAGCACAAACTGGTCCTGTTATTGTTGTTCCCTGTGCCCTTAGTTGATTAAACCAGGTCAGCATCGCTTTGTCGAGATCATCGTATGTTGATTTCTTCATGGTTTTTCTCTTCTTCATTCCGCTTGAATTAGAAGACGAAGCAAAGGAAATTAACTCATTCTTTTGTTTTTTCAAATCACGAACAGTTTGTTCTCCAATACCGTATTGCATTGCTAATTGTTTAACTACAGCTCCTTTTTCCAGCTGATTGATAATTTCAAGTTTCTGTTGAATACTTAACACAACACGCTTCCTTTTAAACCCCGACATTTTGCTAACGCACTTGAAGATCTATATTAAGAAACTGATACTTACTTTCACAATGCACTCTCACACTGAGATGGTACCGTTAAATAACCTGGGGCGGTGTATTTGTCCTTGAAACTTTCCAAAAATTCTTGCATTCTTTCACCCCCACCCTAGAACATTGTGTTCGCATAACGGGACGAAATAATGCAGAGCTCGGTTCACACTAGTGCGAAAATAGTGTTAAACTCACCATGTGAAACAAAAGTGAATGAATATTAAACAACATATAAACTTAAAAAAAAAAGCCCCGGTTAAGCCGCAAACCGGTTAATCCGCCCCCGGATAATCGAGAGTTGACTGTATTACTATTTAGCATGCACCCTCATAATGCTGCAGAATGTGTAATATCCAAAACAAGAACTCTCAGACATTCAACGCATGACCTGTTACAGTGCAGTGTTCTTTCTGGAGATGTTTTGTCATCTGTTTGCTCGGGGTATGCTCTCTGTTGCTCTTTCTCCATCATGACAATCATCAGATTAATTTCTATATTACTCTGCTAAGTCCTAACTGACATACTACTTTTTATGCAAATGTTTGCTCACAAAGATGTATGTTCAGTGGTTGAGCACATAGACAGGAGGTGCAGGCCCTCACATTCTGTGTCCTGCATAATGGAGATGAACAGTGCCTGCACACACATCTCATGTACCATCCTAGTTAAGTCTACACTGTCCGCTTCTTTCTGCGTGGTGAGAACATCACACAAACTGATGGATATTACAGGTGATATCTGGACCCAGCAGAGGTCATGAGTATTTTTAGAATTTTTAGGGTAATAAAATCGTTATGATTGCAATGGAAAAGTCATGCTACATGTGAGAGAGGAGCAGTAAATGAACACAGTATCCTTACTGGACAGTTAAAGCAAGAAGATGAGTGGGTAGAGAAAAATAGATGGAAGAATGATATTAAAATTAATGCAGAGAAACAGGTTGTGAAGGTATGAAAAAGATGATACCGATCCACTATAAAATTCTGTGATGAATCTCACAGAAGCTATGAACTGTCAGCATCATCATGTACCAAGGAGTTGGTTACTTAATAAAGTCCATCTTCTCTGTGAACCAAGGTACATCTTGTGTAGCAACCTAACAGAAGAAAAGTCTGGTGTAAGCGTGTCTGAGTTTCCCACCAGCATACTTATGAATACTGGAAGTATCTTGAAGTTTCGTGTCTTTCCGATGATTGTATAATGGTGTGCATCACTGACTGACACCCATTTATTCCCGCAGTAGATGGAGTGTACCCACATATAGAATTCCAAAGATTTGTTAAAGCAACCAAAGAAGAGATCACTGGTGTGCTGGCACACATTTCTATTCCTCATAGTGGCACACGTTTCAGATTCACTGACCCTCACACGCAACAGCATGCACGTCCTGTATTATCCAGAATGCCATAGAGAATTCAGGCATGAACAGAGGCTTGCTGATGTTCAGGTATTTTGGTTCAAATGGAGGCAGTGATCCATCTGGATTCAGATGTAGTTCCCTGCCATTCAGAAGAACATGTCTGAAAAATGAGAAAGTCACGATTAGCATTCATGGTCTGTATTGATAGGACAGGATCATAAGGTAACAGCCAACCTTGAGGATCAGTCACCAGTCTTTTGACAACTTACCTTGACCTGAGGATGTCAGCTGTCAGCACATATGCCAACACAATGTCTGACGTTGGCAGCCCTGTCACCGTGACTTGGCTCTTTCTGTTCATGATGTTCACCCCAAACAGTGTGACTGCGCCTCTCTGACGTGCGCAGTGACAGTACAGACGTATGTGACCTTGTTCACCTGGACAGGATGTTTCTATGATGTGGTCTCCAACCACATTCAACACGCCCAGTCCAACCAACTTCTTGTAGAGCACTGATACCCACCAGTCCTGCCAACAGAGTGTCATCCTGTAGTCTACATACTGCCTTCAGTCAACTGTTGTGAGGAAGTCCTGCTTGTCTGTGCAGTTGCAATGTGTTCATCTGTACTGTGTAAACCTGAAGCTCTGGGAAGCAAGCAGTTATTATATGCTATAGACACACTTGATAGTCATGTAGTTGTTGGTCTAGCTGTACAATTTGGCCTGTCAAATGGTTATTACTCTACATTCCATCCTATGTACAGACTTTGCAGTTTTGCACCCCCAGTCTCATTGTCAGGTGTCTACACATGCGTGAGTGCACACACATATATAACTCCATTTGAGATTACTGGTTAGTAACCCAAACTCTATACAGGTGTAAATAGCCACAGATACTGGTGTACCTCTAAACACACAAGACTTACAGCGACATGGTGCAAAAGTGGTAGCATATGAAAGCGAAAAACAATATATCATACTTTCTTGTCTTGCCAGTGTTTCTTTCTTCTGATTTTCCTGAGTCAGTTAAGATTTTAAAGTGACAAATTTTTATTTACATTATGTATGATGCAGGCAGAGTTGCCAGTCCAAACAGTCTTAACTCTTGTCACCTCACATGTGTAGACTACAAGGAGAAATACGCGATTTTACTCTTTCCACTTCCAACAGGATAACTTCATTTTGTTCAGCAAGAGTGTATACTTTTAAAATAAACAGTCACTTTCATTATACTATGAGAGTTTATTTTCAGAAAACCCAGAAATTTTTCAAGTTGTCTTAAAAGAAAGTAGAGACAAGTGCCATAGGGCAGACATACTCACTGGCAGAGGCTCCATTTCTGGGTCCAGCAGTCCATAGTTCCCACCTGAAAGTGACTGTCGTACCACTACATCAACCCCCAGGCGGGCTGCCATCCCAAGCTTGTCCAGCCATAGGAACCCAGCTACATAGCGGTCTGAAAGTCCAGGGGCACCTCCCCCATATGCTGACCCTGTTTCACCTGCAGTCAAATACAGAAACTTAGAACAGATGGAACAGCGACTGCCTCAAACTTTGCCACCACCTGAACTGATCCTGTGTAACAGTCTTGTACACAACCCGCAGGCTCATCCCTGTTAACACATGGGCCACCTTGGTCCTCACCTTATTTGTTTCCTCATTAGTGCCCCATAGCTAATGAGGTGACAGTTTGTATATCTCTCACTCCTAAAACCTTTGCCTAGTGCTGATGACTCAAATACAGATCAGCACCTGAAATATTTTGTACCAAAATTTCTACCACTTAATCATGGAATTACAAATTCATAGGTTCTGAAGGCAAAAGGAACCAGTGGAACTACAAGAAATAGCATTCTTATAAAACTGCTAATAATATTACTTCTCAACAATTTTCATTCAAATTATACATTTCTAAAACCGTAATTCCAGCGAAATCACTGAAGCATTACTCACTGAGCCACATGGGGAGATCTACCCCTGCAGTTGCACTCTGCACTGCTGAGATCTGGCATGGCAGCATGTTCAGTACATCTGGGCTGACAAAGTCCTTCAGCTTGGCTTTCCTTCCATTCAGATAATACCTGCAGGGCACAACAGACAGACAGTTTCCACAGGCATACATGGTCATGGCCGCATAAATGGTACATTTCACATGGAACAAATCCACTGCCAGAATAGTAAGTTGGTCTAAGTTTAGTTCTTTTTTCTTTCCATAATGCAATGGTTTGAGCCTATGACGCCCCCACCAGATCCCAAAATACTATCCATGGCCTCCCATCCCATTAAAGGCTTCAGTAAGAATTAGAGAAATAACGTGTACTGTGGACATTTGAATATGAATATGAGTGTAAGGGGTGAGCCATAAAAACCAGCCCTCACATTGTGACCTTCAATGATCTATTGTGCTTTCCCCTTTTGATTAACCCTTTATTAATCCTACACTTCAAATGAAATGTAGGACTTGATTTATGGGGGCATCATAAAAGTCACTTGGTCCCATGAAGAACTGACCCAGGTGGCGATATCTTAGGTAAGCTATAGCCTCACAATCACATAAGATGTGTGTGGCTGATTCATCTTCTTGTAGGCACCTTTCACAAGTTGGGTCATCTGTCAGTCCCAGTTTGAAAAGGTGCCCTTTCAGGTGGCAGTGTCCTGTAAGTAATCCTACCACCCATCTGAGTCGGTCTCTGTTTAATTTTAACAGGTCCTTCATTCTTTTGACAGAGGGTCCTGATATAAATCCTTTTACCTGTCTGAGTCCAGATGTGGATTCCCAGTGTTTTTTGTGATTTCTGTTAGTCCTGTCCCTGATCGCTTTCTTGGCAACTCCAACTGAGATGCCGCAAGCTGGTTCAGGTCCTATGAACGGCTGTTCAGATCCTGTTCTTCCAGCTGATCTGCAGTTTCATTCCCTGCAATACCCTCATGGCCTGGCACCCATATCAGTTGTACTCTCTTATGTTTGGCCAGTTGTGTGAGGGATTGGTGGCAATCCCAAACCAATTTTGAAGTGATTTGGTGTGAACCAAGTGCTTTGATTGCAGCTTGACTATCTGATAGGATATAGATATTCATATTTTTGTAGTCTCTATCTAAATTCTCAACTGCTTATGCCTTAATGGCATACACTTCTGCCTGGAATACTGTTGTATACTGACCAAGGCCAAAACTATGTTTCCACCCTGTTCCATCACAATACACTCCAACTCCAGTGCCTATATTTATCTTGGAACCATCTGTATACCAGATTAGTCCCCCCTTTCTATTGGGTTGAAACCCTTCTTTCCACTCACTTCTATCAGGAAATCTGATCATGAAGGGTCTATCATAAACATGTTTCAGTAGCATTTCATCAGATCCCATCTGTAGGATGGGTTCCTTTTTCATGGCCTGGATCATGTATGCATGTCCAAAACCTTCAGATTTAGGTCTCCATTAATCATTGCAACGTAATCTGTAATTTCCTAACTTGGCCTCTGCTTCCATCTGCAGATGCAGTGGGGGGAGTCATAGTAGGATTTCCATTGCAGCTGTTGGAGCTGTTCTCTACTGTGGACATTTACTTTTAAAATAAATTATTTCTGACTCACCCTCATGCAAAAATATTGGCAGAGAAGACTGGTACAAGTCTTAACGGGATGGTTGCAGCTGCTCTGAGGTAACTGGGTTATGGCATATAAATGGATACCTTCCATATGGTAGCATCCATATCATCTGCTGCAACCATCTGATATTAGGATTTCATTTTGAAAACTGTTGCTTCACACACGGAAGTTGTTGCAAGCAAGGTGAAAGCTTAATAGCTCACTGCACAGCATTGCAGAACATCTGTTTTTGGTGAACATGAGGTACGAATTCAATCATTCATATGAGGACAGATCAGAACTGTGTGAAACTTACTGGTGCCATGTGATGGCACTGATGACACTGATAGCCTGTGCTAGGAAGCTCGTGAGATATGGTATAGGTTGTTCCCCTGTCTGATGTAGTATCGGACGGGTCACATCTGGCCCCACAAGTAGTGACTCACTGTAACGGGGGTATGAACTCAGAAGACGACGCAGCTCCATAAAGTCGAGCCCAAGTTGATTCCCAGATAATGGAATACCAAACACATGGCCAAATGCATTGGGCTCTGTAAGCACATGGGTTGAGAGATGTTAGCCAGTGTTTCTTACAATTATAAATATGGTTTCTTTCTATGAGAGCAGAGCAGAAATTGAAACAAAAGAGAATATTCATAGATACCAAAGATGGAGCAACAGGGGAATGTAAAAAGGTAAAGCTACCCCTGTAACAGGCTGTGGAGGCCCATAGGGTTGTGAGACATTGAGGCTCCCTCATTTTTCTAGACAGTCAGCTGGCAGTGAGGTTGTTAGCCTTACGCACCGGCCGTCCTTTACCCCCAGGAAGATTCCTGGTACTCATTTCTGTTAGAGGCTAGTCGACCCCAGGGCCATAAAGCAGCTGGAAGGATTAGGTCAATTGAAAAATCCACTTAGTGGTGGTGCTGAGTGGCAGGACATGGGTGAAGGAAGAACCCCAGAAAACAGGATGCTGACAGGTCCTTTGGAAATGTGGCACTGTACAAGTACTTAGGAATAACAGCAACAAATTATGTTCCTTATGAAACTAAATTATGGAAATACGAGTATAAAAATATATAAAACTATGATTTTGCCCCATTATCTTGTACCCTGAAGATGAGAGAGAAGCATCAGTACCCACCTATAAGACTACACATTGTCATCACTTAGAAGATCACAATATGAATCTCCACTGCCATAAAAACCTTGAATTATATGGACTAAGGAAACTGCAATGGTAGAAAAATATTAAAATGGCTGAGGAGAGAACTGAGGTGGCTCAAGCTTAAGTCCAATGTTGAGGCTCTGTTACCACAGAGAAAGGTACCATTTCCAAGCTGCCAGCTGATATTGAATCTGTGTCTGTCAGAATATTCAAGCAACACTCTTGCATTGGAGCTATCCCACTGAGTTCCATTCCGAAGCAGTACGTTCAAGTCAAACAGCAGGTCAAGTCCTGCAGCTTGAGCAAATTTGTTCAGTGCTGTCCAGTCACTTCCTGCAACACAGACTGTATGTGAGATGGTCTGCATAGTGCACCACAAATTCCTTTAGATAACGACATAAGGAGACAATTGCACATACCTGTCATGTTAAAAAAACTTATGTTACGGAATGCACACCCCTTCGATTCATATGAACATGTGCCACCGTCCGACATGTTGGACTTGTGTTTAACCGGACTGTAGCTCCAGTCTGGCTGGAAGACCAGTCTGTCTGCCAGTGTGCCCCCTATACGGAGATATGCTGGTGCAAGCTGTGCTGCCAACTTGAGCAGCATGTCTGACCTACAACAAGCTAAATCATGAGTTCCATTCTGGACCTACATAAATATAAAAGTTAAGGTAAAAGGTTAAGTCCCTGTGCTTAACTAATTAAGCACTATGCCACAAAGGCGTATGGGGGAGTAGATGTATTCACAATTTCTTGACCTGGACTTGGAGTTTAGTGGTCAGCTTCACGTCCCAGCCGCTTTACCCCGGGGAAAGAGCCTCCAGTACCCATTGGATAGGAGGTTGGGTGGACACCAGAGCAGCTCTGGGCAATGTGGAGAGGGGAAAATTCTTGACTCTACCAGGACTCGAACTCTGGCCCCTCAGTTGTCCAGCTCCATATCTAGTCACTATACTGACTATTCTATCCTGGCTCCTATACATAAATATACTTTATCTTATTGTTACTCAGCAAGTATGAGGGGCATTCCATCCACTATTGAACTCACTTGATGTTCTTGTGGATCCAGCCATTTTGAATCTGTGACGTGTCGAGAGCAACACTCAGGAAGTGTTCATCTGTTCTGTGTAGCAGGCGGTCAGTGTGGATGGTTATATGAGTAAGGTAGGCATCTTGTTTTGTTAACTCCCACAGTCCCACGAGTATGGTGACCCACCCCACGATGAACACAAGGAGCATGAGAACAGCCTTATCAAACACTCCTGTAACTGTTCACACAAGCATTTCATATGATCATCTGTCCTGTTGCACTCTGTTGTGATTACATAAGCCAAACTAATTAAAGCACTGGTGTGTTCAGAGTGCTGAATTATCTGAATTACCTAATTAAAAAAAAGTATTCGAAAGATTTTACATATGTATAATTTCTAGCAAAGATACTGAAGTGTTTTGGCCTTTATGGCCACAAAAGCATTCTTTCCACCCACTGTATGCCTCAGTGGTATAATATCAACAAAGTAATAGTATGATAACTTCACAGTTTAGGTTGCAGTTTCTTTGTCAGCACCTTGTTTTCAAACTTGTAAAAGAAAAGCAGATGAATTATAGATTTATATTCCATATAAGTATATTAATCTAATTTCTGAAAAGATATAAGTTGTGTACTTTGAAGATAAAGTGCATTTCCTGTTTATAATTTAGTGTAAACTACGTTAAAACATTTATACAGAGGTGTGGTGTTGCACCATCAGCAGAAAAGGACAGGGTTGTTTGGATTTGTGAAGAATGAAAATACAGTTAGAATATTTCATAAAACCCACTTAGATTACTTATTTCTGCCTACAATCAATCATTAGGTAGAAAAAGGTTAGAGTTCAAGGGGCCCATTATTAACGTTTTTCGTGTTCTTATCTTGAAGGCCCAAGTGGTTTCATGAAGTAACGAATCTCAGCGAAGACACTAGGAGTCCTGATTGAGGTTTACCATAATTTCCTCAGACCGGTCGGGAAAATTCCAGGGTAGTACCTAGATTAGGTCACAAACACTTCTTCCAAAATCTTTTTCAGTTCATCAGTCCTCTCCTACCATTTATTTGATGCTAGTATTGTTAAATAACACACACTTCTTCTGAAGGTCAACTTCCGGCCTAATTTTCGAAGTTGTAGTTACAGCTTACAGCTAATATAATTCGCCCCATTGCTGCTGGTTTGGCAGAAAGGACCCCTCCTTCAACCACTACCAGAAAAGGATTCGTACCTCCTCCATGCCTGTCATCTCGAAGAGGAAACTTGTAGAGTAACTCGCGATTTTGTTCCATTTTTTCTGGAAACATGTCTGCATGTCCTTTCATTCAACCAGCACATTTAATTCCTAATTGTTTACGCCAGTAGATAGCCATTAAAACACTTAATTAATCCTATGGTGATCCTCCATCTTGTTTTCTTTCCTCGTTGTCATAGTAACTACACCACGCCACGCCACGGCAGGCAGCTGCATTCCATTGGGCAGTTTGTCGCACTCCTTTCATCTCCTGGCTTGGGAGTTCTATGAGTGGTGCAACTTGCAGAGGAAAATGTAAATTTCAATGTCTATTCGTCCAGAAATGCGTACACAATTAATGAGAATGTACGTGAGATAAAGCTTTTTGGAAAGATGGTCGTGTTAGATATTTCTTCAGCGTTCCATTGGACAGGAGATTGTGTCTCTCGAACTCGGCATGTCTATAGCGGTGTGGTGTTTCCTTTCACAGCTGTCACGCGTGCACCAGGCTTAGCCCTCTGAAATTTGTATTTCCTTTTGCACGACCTGAAGGAAGGAAATATGAGCGCAATGTTTGTTTCGTTCAGCTACTCCCTGTACAAATTGGGTAAGGTAAAAAAATAAAGTTCATATTCTTAATTAAGCACTATGCCATGAATAAGACTTAAGGGTGAGTGGAGGTATAGCTCCATCATTCTTAACCTCAGCACGAGATGGAGTTGAGTGGTCAGCTTCACGCCTCAGCCGCTTTACACCCACCCCAGGAAAAGATCCCCTCGGTACCTATTGGGTACGGGGCTAGGTGGGCCTCAGAGCCGGTCTGGACACTGGAGGAATCGAACCCCTGCCGTCAAGCCCGGCGCTGTACCGACTGAGCTCATGTAAATTCGTGCGGAGCTGTTATAATCATTTTATATTGAATTATATTGTCGTTATAGACTGCAAGAAAGCCCGTAATTCAATTGGGAAGGGAGTATTGCTCAGTATTCTCATATCCATGAAATTTTGGGCTACTTTAATTCAATTAAGTGAAAATTTTAGCGAAGTCTGCATAGGTTAAGATTTGTCAGATGTATTTCCGATTCAGAATAGGATGAAAAAAGAAAAAGGAGATGCTTTATCGCCACTGTTTTTAAACTTTGCTCTACAATTTGGCACTAGGAAGGTCCAGGAAAACCAGATGGAACTGAAATTGAATGGGACATAACACCTTCTGGCGTGTGGAAGTGATGTTCGTAACATCATACCTGGTAGAGCAACACTGAAGCTGTATCAAATGCTGTTGTCGATACGGTTGGATGAGTCCAGAACGGCTGAGCCCACGTAGCCGATCACAGGGAAAAGCAGCCGGAGCTTGAGCACATGTGCCAAAACAAGCTTTGTTCAGGCTGTAAGACCCGGTCTATCTAGCATAGCAAACTTAATCGAAATCCATCAGTAATTCCAAAACTGCAAACGAAGCCACTCTCCCTTAAGGCGCGTTAGTTACCTGCAGCGCTGTGTGACGAGAAGACGGACTTACGGAGAGTGCAAAACCAGCGTCGGAGCGTGATGTGATGTTTTGGTGCGGGGGGTTAGTCTACGATACGGGCTGGGCAACCGAGGAATTGGGGTTCGATTCCTGGGAGGGTGAAGAGGGCTTTCGCTTCTCCACACCATTCAGACCAACTGTGAAGCCACCCAGCCTCCTATCTAATGGATACAGGGAGGTTTTTCCTCGGGGATCAAGCGGCCAAGCGAAAAGCTGAGCATTCGCTTTCAATTAAAGCCGAGGTTGAGGATGCTTGGAGCTCTACCTCCATTTCCCTATATGTCTTCGTGGTGTGCTTAATTACACACAAGGACAGTTTTACTTTTTTTTACTTTTGAGAGACCCGATTTTAATACGCTGATTTTAGAAATAACAGATATTAAGAAGGAACAGTTTGCGCGGAGCAAGTAAACTTGGTCCGGTCAGACGCTACTAAGTCCATTGTTTTCGGAACACCAGTCGTACCCCCCTTCTGCATCCCGGAAAGTTGGCCAACAGAAACTGGCAGAAGAACATGCAAACTTTCTGGTTCTAAAAGCGGGAGGAAGCCCCTGAAGCCTAGACCACGGGCTCTTCCTACTCAGTTTTTTCGTGGTTTTCTTCGGTCCCTCCAAGCAAACACCGGGATCATGCACGACCGCTTTCTTGCAAATCCTTCCCAGTGCGGCATTCGTCTCTTGTCGTTCCACTCGACGGCATACTGAGAGCGTCGGAACGACCACCGTCCGCATCCGCCCCACGTTATCATACAGCGAGTGGTTGAAACGGACACGAAGCAAATAAATAGCAGCCAACAAGTAGGGATGGGCTTGGCATGTAGCAGGGAGACCGTGAATACATATACAGTTGTGGTACCAGAACTTAACTGGCCGGAATAGCGCAGTAGGTGTAGCGACTGGCTACCGCCTGGACGCCCAGGGGTCGGTGTTCGAGTCCCAATAATGGCAAGATTTTTCTGTATTCCTTTTCGTCCAGACCGTCTCTGGGGCCCACCCAGCCTCCTATCCAATGGGAAACGGGAGATTTTGCCCTGGGGGTAAAGCGGCTGGGGCGTGAAGCTGACCATTCACCTCGTTAATAATAGATGGATCTATACATCCACTCCCCCATACATCAACTAGTTCAGAAGTAGCCCAACTGACTCAGCGGTATTGAATGTTCATTGCGGGAAGACTATGATATGGCCCCGCATTTTGAAATGACAGTGCAATGCATTGGTTGTCAGGAGCCGTCCGGTTCTCAGGTTGTGCTGCGTTGTGCTGTCCGGCAGCAGATCGACGTACAAAGCTTTACGCTGATGTATCGGAGTTTTTGTCTCGTCCCTAACCTGCACAAAACTCGTAACGTTCATTTGTTGCCCTTATAACGGTCTCGTCGATGCTTCATCACTCGGTGACAAAAGCCGGTGACAATGCGCTGTGGTTTGATTGTGAGGACCACACACAGAGAGCAGCACCTCCTAGTCAATACGCATTGTCGAACATGATGATGACCCATCTGTCTGCATGTCTTGGGAAGTTTATAAAGCGAAGATTTTTGCTGTGAGGGGTCAACGTTCCGAATGTATGTCTTGTTTCGAGTTGTTCGTCTGTCGCTGTCATCACAAAGGCTTGTCCTTGGAACACTGAGAGTCATTTTAATATTATCTTCCTTTCACTCTGTAGAGTTATGTTCACCCCACGAATTTTCCCATCCACTATTTTGGAACAGTTGTTGTTTCCCCATGTTCGCCCCACTGACCCCAACCTCCGTGATTTGGTTACCAAGTTGCGAGTGTGTACTGTCTTGTCTTACAGGCAGTGTTCTCTCTGTCGATATTGCAGAGTGCCTAGCGTTGAATGGTAGGATCGTTGCTGAGCAATGAACCTGAAAGGGCGTGCGCGGAAAGAAGCTTTCCTTGCCTGATAGAGACGCTACCCCGGCATTTCACCCTGAGGGACTGGAGAAAACCACAAAAAACATCAGCGAGGTTCGAGCCCAGAACCTTTCATTGCCGCTACGCCAGCCTGCTCGGTCTCCTCAGCATGTGGAGAACTGCTCCTCCCGTGTTTCACAACGGACTCCTTGCCGCAGTCATGGATTGGTAAGAAAGGGGACTCAAGTGACGGCGGGGTATGAACCAGGAATGGCCTATCATGATAATGAAACGGGCAATCGGTCCACCATCATGAGCGGTGTCAGGCTTCACGTGAACCTACGGGTTCCACGAATCGCCGGGGATTTCGTGACCAGCTGAGCGACTGTTAGGTTGGAAGAGCCACAAGATCGTACAGGGTCTGCCCTCCATCTCGAGGGTACATGTGAGCCGAAATTAAGCCGAAAACAGAGTTAGAAACGTTGGTGACGGTGTACCAAACGAAACGAGAGATCTCAGTAGCGCGCCAGTCGGCCAGTGTGGCAACTGCTAGCGTCACGTCTACTTAGCGCGGCCATGCTGGCCATTTCGTACTCCTTCAGTCGGAGTACAGAGTTCCTCGTTCGGAATGCGTTCCACACACCAGTATTGCAGAGAGCTGTTAGGGCGCGCCGTATATTCTAAAATGATCGCAACGTGGCGCTTGGGGCCTCCCGCTGACTCGCCATTGATCGCTGCTGCCATCTATCCTTCACCACTGTAAGATGGATGACCCATTGTAGCTGCTCGATACAACGGGCTCATCAACTGCTTGTGGCTTCGTGTGTACTTGCGAGGACGCAATAGCAACGAAAGTGAAAGTCCATTTGCTAGGCAACGGCTCACTAGTTTCCGCTACAACGGGTAAGAGACCAAAACACGAACTTTTCGGTGTGGTGGCCGCTATTCGGTTCTCTCGCCGTTATAAAAGACAGTTTATTCGTGAATTCAAAGGATTCTATTCGCAAGAGACTTCAGAAGGCAGTTCAATAGCTGAGTGTTCTGCTGTGAAGTGTTAAACCAGCGGACACCGGAAGCTGCAGAAGTGGCCGACCCGTAAATGGGAACCAAGTTAGTCACGCTTAGTCCAGCAAGGAATGAAGCGACAGTCAGTGATTGTGAGTGCAAAGAAGTGACAGTAAATCCAATCGTCTAATCCAGAACCCATTATTATTCGTCAACCAAACCCTGATAAAAGATGAAGCTATCCCTGTAACAGGCTGTGAAAGCCCTTAGGGTTGTGACACGTCTCTAGGCAGTCGGCTCACAGATGGCGGTGAGGTTGTCGGCCTTACGCGACGGCCGCCCTTTACCACCCAGGGAGATTCCTGGTACTCATTTCTGTTAGAGGCTGAATCGACCACAGGGCCATAGTGCAGCTGGAAGGATTAGGTAAATTGAAAAATTCCACCTCATCGGGACTCGAAACTGTGACCGTCCGTCTTGTAGCATAGTGCCTCAACCAACTACACTACCTCGTGCCCTTTGCAAACCCTGACACGTGACAATATTTTCTGATGTCATATTTATATTTGCTGTTTCCGTAATAAAGGCTATACGT